TGAGGTTTTGTGTCAATAAAAAAATATTGTAACTGTTTGTTTAAAATGGTCTGTAACGAAACTTAATGTGACAAACAACTAATAATACATATTTTGTATTTCACTGACCAATCTCCAGTACTTTTTTATACAGTAGTATTTAAGTTATGAATGAAATCGAGGTATATTTAACTAATGGACGTGAAAATCAAATAGTCTTCAAGATAGTTCGATAAAATGTATTTTCAACAGTATCACCTATACATATTATCTGAAAAGAAAGTACTTTACTGCAAAAAACTACTCGAATGAAACTGTGTGTCGTTCAGCCTTCATCCTGAGGAGGTACACACAAATTCGGAAATTGAGTTTCAGCAAAATGGCAGTGATTCTTAAACATGATATTCAACACTTAAAATCGGTATATAATGAAACAGTAAAAGCACCACGCGTTCAAATTCACAATAAATATTTATGTGTAATTGACTTTTTTAAACAATATACAAATCTTAGTACCTTACAAAACTAATCAACAGTAAACAACAAAACGCTAAATTGTTAAAATACCCTTTTTGAGCACGGAAGATCTCGATTGATTTTCAATAACTCTATAAACTTGTTTCTAATCAAAAACCAGCTCTACAAGTACTTCTTTTCTTCTTCTCCTTGAACACCGTTGTGCGACAGATAGTTCTTCTTCCTTTCAACGTAGGTATTTCCTTGTCCACAACCAACATCCATACCGAAAAAGACCTGGTTACCCTGTAACAGAAAAAAAACATATAATAACACTAGATCATTTATAATTCTGTGAATCATGCCCTAAAGAAAACAACGTCGGCCGCCACTGATAGCCATAAATCAATTGTGACGTTTCCCAGACCGCGCCCAGCCGGGCCAACGTTTCGCGGCTGTTCGATGTTCGCGTCGTTTCGATGGAATTCTGTCGAATTCTCTATCGACGTCGAGATCATTCGTTCACCGTATATAAACGAAACCCATTCTAGGACTAACTAAGAAAACAGTTATCATCTGTAATTCGGATTTGGCATCAGTGTAGGTGTTCCTCAAGGATCAGTAGTGGGCCCCATTATCGTTACGAATATATGTGAATGACATCGTTAGAGCGAACCCATCCATACATTCCACATTGCATGCGCCGAACAATATGATTATTCGCTAGAAAAAGAATGTAATGAAGTTCTTTCTAATCTCTATGACGGGTTCTGCATGAATTAATTGCATCTAAATGCACAAAAACTCAGTCAATACATTTTCATAAATGGCAAAAACTAGTGTCTACCATTCATGTGAATAATAATAATACAGTTTTGGAAAATGTATCGTGTGTAAGATTCCTGAGCCTGTACATTGATGAGTATCTTGGCTGGAAGAGACACTGTGAGTCAGTTATTTTGAAACTCAACTCTCTCAGCTATCTATTCTGAAACATGAGATCAGTTTTGACCAAGAAACAACTGATAATGGTATATATACACAAGTCGAATCTGGACTAAGATACGGAATATGTTTTTGTGGGTCATCCACTTGTTTTAATGGTGTGTTCATATCGCAGAAAAAAATGATTCGTATTGCTGGTGTCTCCGTACCTTTTAAAATGAATAAGCAAATTCACACTATTAATACAAGACAGCGAAATGACTAACATGTGCCATTTTCAAGGACTAATCTATCACACAATTCAGCCACTGTGACTGGGCAAAGGTTATTTCGCCCAAAATTAAATCATGTGTAACTTCGACAGCATTCAAAGTACCCTTTGAAAGGTGGATTTCACTCCTTAGATGAAGAGGTAATGGACATTATCGCTTCGGTAAAAATTATCAAATACGTTTAGACAACAGACAAAGTGTTCTAGTTGTCCTCAAAGCAGGTATCTGTTTGTCATCCATGATACGCGTATGTGCATGACTCTATTTATGTCAGTTTCCTCTTTCTTTCTATGGCTTCTCTATATAATCTTATATGGTAGCTCTAAAATCTGTCGCTTGAATCTTCCATTTAGTGAAAAAAATGAAGTCCCAGCTACATATATGTTGATCCTTACCTTCTCCATGTAGGCCTTGACGTAGAAATTTCCAAAAAGCACTATAAACGACATCATGTAGATGATCAGAGTGTAATGCATCCAAAGAGGGAACTCGCAACCTGTTCTAATTCCGTTTGCCCCCAAAACCAAGGCACAAGTGAACTGGATCTGAAACAGAACTTTGTAATGCAATGGGCATTAGAAAACGTTTAGAAAAATTACCAGCTGAAGAATGGTAAGGTATTTCTTCCACCACAAATACTGAGTGACTCTCGGACCGAACACGGAGAGGCCGTAATAGGAGTACATCATAACGTGGATTGCGGAGTTAACCATGGCTGGTAAGAAAGCTGGAAGAAAAAATTCGATGTCGTTGATTCATAGTGTCTTGTGATACATGCAGGGAAATTGGGGAGATAATGGGTTCATGTATTTAGAAAAAGTGGACTGTAGTAGAGACGAATTTTATAAAGCTAATCTGTTTACTCAAGGTTTCGATGAAGATGAAGAAAATACCTGTATATAACGTTATCTACGATAATTGTCGAATTTGGGACGATACTAAGCCACATGAGATCCAAGAACGCCCAATGCATCTCGAAAAAGTTACGGTTTGGTGTGGATTTTCGGCTGGCGGCGTCATAGGTCCATGTTTCTTTGAGAACGACGTTAGTCTGGTCATTACTGTCAACGGAGAGCACAATACGTCGATGATTACCAATTTCTACTGTCCTGAATTGGATGATCTGGATACCAAACGACGAGGTTTCAACAGAATGGCGCTATGTGTCACACAGCTCATGTCACATTGGATATTCTGCCCGAGCAAATTGAGGGAATGGTCATCTCACGTGGATGTGACGTGAACTGGCCACCAAGATCGTGCGATTTCATCTCATTGGACTTTTTCTTGTGAGTTTTTGAAGTCGCAGGTGTATGCGAAAACCACAAACCACAGCGGTCCTCAGACCCGACATAACCCCTGACTAAGAATTTTAGGACCCAGTGGCATCAACAGCCTGATGACTTCGACAACTGCGGAACTAGCCAAACGTCACACACATGATCAATCCTTAAAGAGATGGGATAAAACTAGAGGATGTAATCTTGCCAGGATCACCTTGGGCGACCCTGGGAAGCTGACGCCGAAGAAATATCTGGGGATGACCAGCAAGAAAAATATACGCTTGACAGTAGGATTTCTGACTGGCCACTGTCAACTAAGGAAACACCTCCATAATATGAGGCTAGGGGACACACCTTTATGCAGGATATGTGAACAGGAAGATGAGACTGTCAGACATGTCCTATGCGAGTGCCCGGAGTTATCGTGTGTTCGGCGAGTCTTGGCCTACACCTGGAGATGTCTCACAGTGACCTGTCCAACTTCCTGGAAAGAACAGGAAGCGATCAATGGAAGATCCTATAGTTTCAGCAGGGCCATTCTATTGAAAACCTACAGAAGTAGTTGAACATTGATACAGTCCTGCGATTCCATATATAAAATTTTCCATGTAGTCCAAATAATAGCGCTCAGCAGATCTATAAAATTTGCAGAATGACCCAACATAACGGCTTACATATGAAATAAAAATGAGTCTGATCTAATTTTTACATCGTAATAAACATGTTACAGAAAACTGTGGCAAAAGATTCAAGTAACCTTTATTCAGCACTTGTAGTGTTATTTACCAAAGAAAATGAAATGGCTATATTTTGTGTGAACTGCAACAGGCATAATGACGTTACCAGGAACTGTTTTCAGGAATTTCAGACACTCAGGTTAAATTTTGCTAGTTATTGCATCATATACTCTTACTCTTTGCAGATGATTTGAAAATCTTTCGACCCATTACATCACAGGAGGACTGCTTAATCTTACAAAAAGACCTTGACTTTTTGTACAATCGGTGTACCGAAAATAATCTTCCCCTCAATACAAACAAATGTAAATACTCAAAATATATCCTTAAACATAATGTTTTTTCTCATGATTACTGCATAAATAACACACCTCTTCAAATAAGCACTCATCAAAAGGATCTTGGTATCACATTTGACCCTAAACTGAGTTTCTCCATTCACTATGACACAATAACATGCTCAGCCAAACGGATACTAGGGCTCATTTATCGTAACTGTGAGAACTTTCGTAGCAGAGACAGTTTTTTAATTCTTTTCAATGCATACGTCAAATCTCGGCTGGAATATGCCTCCCTTATATGGTCACCCATTTACAATGTCCACATAACCAAAATCGAGTCTATACAAAGAGGCTTCATGAAATATATTACTTACAAGCTAGAAGGAGTTCACCCTGAACGAGGCATCGACAACAGAATACTACTGAATAAATTTAACCTATTATCCCTTCAAAACCGAAGAACTACTCTATAATTTTCATAAACTAGTGAATAATCTGATTGACTGTCCCGAACTACTCTCCCACTTCAACTTTCATGTTCCACGAATCAATTCTAGAAATGAACTGACTTTTTATCTACCAAATTCTAGAACGAACATATTACTCAAGTCAACAGTTGTTGCAATGAGCAAACTTTACAATCAACTCTGTGAAAATCTCGACATTTATTATGAACCTAATTACTATCACTATTATCATCACTGTCTAACCTCCCTGAAGATTGTTTCTACCACTTCCTCAATCCAAAAATAGCAAAAATGATAACTCACCTCCTATAATTGAAAACGAAATTGTCACTTTTTGTAACACTGCAAGACCTATTTTACGTGTTTAGGCCATACGGATAGAGTGTATTGTCGAAAGAATGACAACAGGTCGACTGATGGCACCGCGATGCTAAACGTCGGGCGTCGTCGGCTTCCTCTTCGTCAAAACGGTTTTGTAAATCGATAGGACCAGTACTTTTATACGGGATGGTGTCAAGGAAGGTGTTTGAAGCTTCTGAAAAAAAAACCGGTCGACACCTATATGCTAGATCTAGCAAGATATTAGATGGGCTGATCAGAGGATTTATAAACTTTCAATTTATAGGAGGATATATAAACTTTCAATTTATAAGAGGATTTATAAATTTTCAATTTATAAGAGGATTTATAAATTCAGCTAGTTGTAAATCAAGGAAAAAGTCGTAGCAGATAAGATTCAGTAGGTGATAGATGCTGTTGCGTTACATCTGGGGTATAGTCGAGGTAAACGATATTGTAAACATTTAAAGTTGGCGGCACTCTCAATGGCCAAAAAAACCAAGACATAGAAATGAACCGTCTGCGAAGTAGTTCACGTGGACTGCAGAATTGGCGGTTCGTATTGCATAATTCTAACTAACCGAGTTTTGTGATTGGCTAAAGAGTCATAAAATTAAATTTGAAGTCATATTACGGTGACGAATAGAAATAGGGAATGCGGGGATGGTTATCGTCATCGTGTTCAGTTCAGGAACTGATCGCGATTTGAGTGTTGAAATTCGATATTGGTGCAGTTATAATTACTTGTGTGATAACAACGCAGACTTTTTCCAGTGTAGTGATTCCAATAGCGATGGTAAATAATGCGAAAAAGAGATACCAGTGAATCAGATTAAGATGCATTCGAATATTGAAACACAGAGAGTATGTTTCAATGTATATAAGAATCTACATCTCAAGTTTGGTTTCGAGGGAAACAAACTATTACAAGAAACATCAGATTTGACAGAAATTCTTTCCTCAACTGTACGTAAAAAAGTCAAAAACAAACCTTATGAACGCAGGACGCGATGTGATACGAGATTACCAAAACCTTTAGATGTTCATCTAATGAAATCATTAAAGAAAACAACATACGACTGTTACAAAAGCAATGAGATTTCTACAACTGAAATCATAAGGAAGAAATTGAATACTTCCGGCCATAACGTGAGCTGCTGTGAGAAAACTCTTCAGAATTGGATGAAGAAACTAGGATTTAGATTCAAAATAATACACAAACGTCAAGCAGTTATGGAAAGCAGAAAAATAGTGAAATTGCGTATCGAATACTCAGAACAAATAACTATAGACAAGAACAAAAGCACATTTTCTAATTGGACGAAACTTGGTATGACACTCAAGACACAGTTACGAAAGGATGGACTGATGGTTCGAGAATGTGTACGCCTAACATGCCTGCAAACAAAGGATCACGACTAATCATTGTGCATTGCGGAGGAAGTAAAGGATGGGTTCTGAATTCTTTGAAATTATGTGGAAATAAACTTGAGGACTGCAATGTTGACTATCATATGAACATGGAAGCTAATATTTTTGAGGAATGGTTTGAAAACAACTTGATCCCAAAATATTTCTTGACAACGCTTCCTATCATTCGCGACAGCTCATCAACGTACCGAATAAAAATCCTCGGAAAGATGAAATACAAAGTTTTTTAACGGATAACAATTTGTATTTTGAAGATTACTATACTAAAAACCAACTACTTGAAGTTTTACAGACAAAAACATTTGAAAAAGT